GGCGTCACACTCGATACTAAAACAGTTTCTGTTTATTTAGGATGACTTTCGTTCAATTAGGTTTTTAGTAAATACCTCGTTGTTACAAATGTTAAGGGTAACCCTTTTTCTGTGTCTCATTTTCCAACTGTAATTACGCTTTTTTAAAATTTTGCATGCTGATGAATTAACAGAACAATCATTTTTTCAAAAATAATCTCAGTATAAACCAAATTAAATATCTATTTTCACATATGCCCATGATCGTTAGCAAAATGTGAGTAGTATATATAGTATGCTAAAAAATGAATTACACAGCATCAAACAGCTGTTTGGTCCTTTTATGACTCATTGATGATACTTCGCGTCACATTTTCTCTTCCTTATCAACAATAGTCGTGTCCATTTTCTTCACGAATATTAAAAATTTAACCACATAAAAAGTTATCAAGCATTTCTAAATCCATGGAAAGAAATTGTTCACAACGTGTTTAATATATTAAGTTCCTACCGGTTTCTCAAACCATCCATTAAATAAATTTAATTCCTACTCTGATTAATAAGCTTCAGTTTTATTGGCAAAACGTGAATGTGATGATACGATTTTGTGATTGACAGTCTGTCTTTGTATTCGTCAGATTCAGTGTCCAAAATTTCATTAACACTTTCAATCAGCTCACTGCAGGAAAAGTCACTGAACACTTGTTTTACCCTAAAGTTACAACTTTGCGTTTTGTCTGGTCCATATTAAGCACGTCAGTGAGGGTTGTATCTGTATCCGAGTCATTCCTCTTACATGTTCTTTGTGAAAGGAACAAATCATCTTCTGAACTCATCATGTTCACTTTCGCACGTGACCTTGAATACCTGTGTCAGGTACATTATATAGTGGGCATCAAAATTAATTGGAACACCTCGGGTTATTTAAGAACGTCATCTGGATACCTCTGACTGAAATAATGTGTATGAATTTATCATAAGATATGTAAATGGATGTTTAGTGGAACATGACAAGTTTGTGAGTGAATGCATTATATGGATGAAGCCTCTAATTCTATTCACAAAACAGTTCCCACTGACCTATTTATTTAATATCAAACCAACTGTCTGGTGATCACGAAGGGAACATACCCATACTTTATTCATTTATTAAGAAGGATAACTCACTTGTTTGATGTCGGATCAGCCAGCGAAAGCACCAGGTCGCCGGTCTTCGGCCCTCGACACGTATTGCTTTCACTAGCGGATCAACCACAACTCGTTAGAGCTGTCATTATATATTTTTATGTGCGTTTGGAGTAATCCTGCAGTCGCTTACTTTAAATGTTTATTATGTATCTTGTTTACATAAACACCCATACCCACACACACACACATATATATATTTATACATATCTTCATTCAATAAAGGAAATACAGAGAAATACACAAAATGGAGACAAAGACTCTGGAGGCCGCCGTTAAACCTTCACCTATAGATGACGCCAAAATGTTCAAAGATGCAAAGGAGATGGAAAAGTCAACAGGGACGCTTCTTCATATACATTATCAGGAGAAGGTAGGTTTTTTGGTTCTAATTAATTCAACGGACTGCATGTTCAGTTTTTGTACGTGGTTCACAAAATTTGTTTCCGATTTTAAACTATAATACAATGCAGTTATATTGCAAATCTAGTGTAAAAGCACTGTTTATATAACCAGTATTATGTTTTTTAGGAGTGCTAAGAACGAGAGAAAACACAGCATAATCTGCCATATGAGTGAAATAGATACATTTTCGATTTATTACATTTTGAAATAGGCTATAACTACGAAAATATTACTGCATCCTTTGGTGCCGTTTTGTCTTGAAGTTAGGCTTAACGACAATGACAACCGTTATTTTGTCTGACCTACTGAACACATTCTACAGTTTTCTGCAACTGTTAAGTATAATATGCTTACAAAAATATCATCAATTGTGTAAATAAATAACCATCTTAGTATTATTATTTTTTTACGGTTTTTGATAAAGCTTATACAAAGTATCGTTTTGATTGGTAAAAAATATCACTTTTGATAGCTAATAAAGTGTGTAAAATATATTTTTATCGAGTTGACTAACAAAATTATAATACATTTTGCTATGTCTACACATTGCTATATTACTGTGTCAAAAATCAAATGTAATTACTTTCATTGAGCATTAATATATCAATGATCAATACAATCTATTCAGCCTGAAAAATATCGATCTAAAGTCGATACTCCGCATCGAATATCAATAGAAACTCCACTAAACTCCTAGTTTTTTTGTTAACAACACAACATGATTTGCGCATATCATTTTTTTCTTTTAGCACATTTTCCTGCGTTTCGAGACGGAACTCCCAGATGCACTTAAAACTTTCAATACAGAAAGTAATATTAATGTGATGGAAGTCCGATTGGGACCTGTTTTGAAAAAAATGGATGAGTTTGACAAAATTAAAATTAGGTTAAATCATGAAGTTGATGCATTCGTTATCAATGGCATTTTTGACGATAATGTGCGCGATGAGCTATGCAATTTATCCATCATTTCCCATGAAGATCAATCTATCAGAGCCCATTGCTTTACTCAACAAGGTAAGGCAAAATGAATTAACGTTGCTATAAAATATACTATATGAATATACTTCGAAAAAATATTTTCCACGTCGTTGCTTCAGTTGTGGCACCAGGTCCTTATTTGTAGGTTGGTACATATCTGTTTTTGTTAGAGGTGTATATAAAAGGTCTTTCAGTATTTTCGAACTGCTCCAAACAAATTGCGTTATTTGGTACTTTTTCTCCAGTAGAATATTAAATCTAATGTCCAGAAATGACGCTATGATAACAGTATGCCACGGCTAACAACAGGTTTACATCTGTATGAAAGGCAACAATGGGTATTTATTCCAAATAGTTTCCATAAAAATCGCTTAACAGGTAGGTACCTATTCTTTTTGTAGATTAGATTAATAAATATCGCTATGATTTATCCTTTGATATGCCATTTTCAAAACTAAATGACGTTCAATATGATCAAATATGTCTGATGTTTTCAACGTGTCTTCGTTTTACTTATAGTGTCCGATGGTAAAGAGAAGCCAATAAAGAGTTTTTACCAGCTTATGATGGAGAGGATGAAGTAAAATGGCGAAGGATATCTTGAATTCAGTGACAGAGTAAGGATTTATATCTAAAGTGTGCTTGGCAGACAGTCAGTCATAGATATAAGTCTGGTGATCCCGGCAAAATTATTCACGACACAGCGATGGGAAAGTAAACAAAAGCGTACATGTTTAACATATTCACGTTTTATAATATGATTTTCTCTGCTGCTATCAATAGTGAACATATCATTGTATGTATATTTATACAATATAAGATATACAGACGGAAAATTATGTTAATCCCACAACAACGTTAATGCCCCCCC